CTCCGGACGCTATCAGAGCGAGAGATAGTACTACGAGATCCTGTCAGATGACGCCATTGTAACGGTTGTAAGCGTAAATGATCGAGCGTCGCGCTCTCGTCAAAGAATCACGTGACCCGATTGAAAGATAAGGCCCTGCGCACAATAGAGAAAATATTAGGAATAGGAATAAAATATTAAATATCAGGAGGAGCAATTTTGAATTATTTCACTTCAAACAAGGAAACGGAATGGATTAATTATTATTTCTAATTTCTATTTTTTTATTTCATTATGCGTTAATCCATTCCGTTCCCTTGTTTGAAGTAAAATAATTCCAAATTGCTCCTCCTGATATTTAATATTTTATTCCTATTCCTAATATTTTCTCTATTGTGCGCAGGGCCTTATCTTTCAATCGGGTCACGTGATTCTTTGACGAGAGCGCGACGCTCGATCATTTACGCTTACAACCGTTACAATGGCGTCATCTGACAGGATCTCGTAGTACTATCTCTCGCTCTGATAGCGTCCGGAGCGATGACCAGCGATGACAGTGGATGAACCCGCACGCAAGTGCTTTGGTATCTCACTCGTACGGCGAATACCCGAAGGGTTGGTGCCGACATCAGTACAAGAATTATGATTTTCCCACGAGATAATTCAATCTCTGAGTCTTTGAGTTAATTTAATTAGGAAGATGTGAGTATACTGAGATCGTTATTGTCAATTAGAAATGATTCACACGTCTCTCATTAACGTCCCTCTATTTTCTTCTTTTTTTTTTTTAGGAAGAGTGCACTTCATCAGTGCATCAACTTTTTTGCCACAAAGTTGTTGCCTCTATAATATTTTATGTAATGAATCCTGGTAGCTGTTCTGTATTGTATCTCCTCTTTATATTGGATATTTGAAATGTTTATGCGCAAGACAATGATGAGTTTTATTAGGTATTTGGCAATCTAAAAGAGCTCAGCTATGGCTGAAGGTGGAACAGAGCCAAAGTCTATTGACGGCCAGATTTCAAGGGGTCAGTTGGAAATAAACGAATGCCTCGGTAACTGGTTGACGTACTTACAGGTTGGTATGCCTTCGATAGCATCTCTGTTGTATTGCGACGCAGAAAATAAATCATCTCTCATACTACAGACACTTAATGGCCTATGCACAGCTGGTACTAAACTGGCCCAATCCCTGCAAGCACTTCTTTCCATGCATGATACAGTGGCACAATGCCGTCTGACAGGTCAATGTCTGGCTGGATGGGAAGAGTTAACGAGAGCCACGCACATAGCCAGCAGTACTGTTAAGAATCATGTGATCACTGCTCTGAGGGATCATGAATCTCGTGACAATGATGGGGACAAGCACGTTAGTAATATATACTTAGTTAGACTATTTTTGTGCATTAAAGTATTGTTGTAACTGATAGAGAGCTTTTGCATTTTCAGGATATCTTAAGGGAAAATCTCTTAACATTTATAAACTTGCAATATCAATTCTGCGTTGCTTGTTGTGAGTGTTTAGGTAAGCCTGTATTATTAAAGTGATGCGATACTCGATAATTAAGTAGAATTATTGAAATATAAATTAAATCAGAATATAGGATTATTTTAGTGAAATATAAAAATTAAAAATTAGATTAACATTAAAGTAATTCTAGATTTTGTGAAAATTAGAATTGTAGCAAGAGGTAGTTAATGATTACACTTTGATTTTGATAAAGTTAAAGTTCTACTTTTTCAATTGTTCTCTGATTTAACTATTCAGGTGGTATGGCAGAATGTTCTTGCTCCCAGAACGGTAGCGGTGATTGCGATATTGCCGCGTTACAGCAATGCTTCGAGCGTCTTTACAGTTCACCAATACCACCAATTTCCTCCTCGTCCACCCAACAATCGATGCCGAATTGTCGGAGGTCCCCATTGCCGTATTCATTATTTCCACAGGTAATTGGCATGTATATTCATCAACTTTGAACAACTCGTGGTCAGCTCGATCATGCTCGGTTTCGTGTATAAAGGTTCAGAGGAGATGGTCAGAAACGGCAGCGGCGGAAATGTCGGGCGAGTCCGTCGAGAGCACGATGAGGCGTTGGTCAATGCCTTGGGATTGCAAGCATGTCATAGAGTGGCCGCGTCAGGACGCGAGGTCGAGATTAAGGGTACCGCAGCAAGATCACAGCAGATCGACTACGCCTGATTCAGTGTGGAAAACGTCGACGATGGCTAGTCAGGACGGTCTGCAGGAAGCCATTCAGTTGTTATCTTGCAAACCAGGTAGCAAAAATTCAAAAGTTCTTTAATGAATCTCTCGAAAATAAGATAAATGATTTTCATGTCGTGGGAGGAAACTTTACGGAAAATATTTCTTCGAAAAATGTAAGTGAATCTTTTTATGAAGAATCGTCAGAAATGTGATTTGTGTGAGTCAAGTTTTAATCTTCGAAATAACAAAGTTGAAGCTCAATGTGTGTCTGATCTTGCGAATATTAGAAATTTGTATTTCTGTGGAAACACTTCTTTTTTACTTTGTAATTTTTGTAAAATTAAAAAGTTGAGTTTATATATAGCGGGATAAAGATACATATAAGCTATTCTCTGTTTCGTGTTCTTCTGCGATTGGAAGGTTGTACGTTGTGCAGGAGTTCGGCCGTCCAATCAACTCACGGCTTACACTAGTCAGCATATCCCAGGCGTCACCTTAACGACCTGCAATTTCGACTCAAATTACGACTCCACTATCTGGTCGGGATCGCGTAGAATAGGTTCTCCCAGATGCTGGCCTCAGGATTCTAGCGATCATTCCGATCAATCCGGACATCGTGATAGCGATCACAGTGTTCATAGCGGCGAACATAGGGATTCGGGTAAGATTCATCGTTGTTTATCACAAAGATGAGGTTCTTAAGCCGATAGAATCGTTAGTGATATTGTTATAATATCATTGCAGAACAGAGCGGTGCCAGTGGCAGTCATGGCGATAGCAAGGATAGCATTCACTCGCATTGCGATCATAGAGAAACGGAAACTGGTGAGTGCTTTAAATATATCGTGCTCGAAATATTTTTTGTTCTAAGCTACTTCTAAGAATACATTGTTAATAAAACTTGATCGAACGCGATAATCTCAGCTCGTACGTTTCGTTGAAGGTACAGCGGACACATTGCCGTCTCGCAAGAGCAGCTCGTCAACCGATTCCTGCCTCTCGGCGCACAGCCGATCGGGTTCGGAAAGCGCTGGTGGCGGGGTAAATAAACAAGATCAGTTGTTTTCTGATTGTTAGTGAACTTAAGTTTATTAAGCCGATATTCTTTTTGACATTGAGATATACAGTGAATAAAATCACAATACAGTAGATAAATTCTAGATGTATATACAAGAAATTTGAAGATTTAAACAAAACGGCTAAAACGTAATGCTATAAGGATATATATTTAAGAGATGTATACGCAGTAAAAAAAATTGATAGCATACGAATTACTTATACTGCTGCATCCTTATATTTATATTGTCTCGTTATATTACACAACACTTGGAAACTAATTTCTCGTTTGCTCTCTTGATACCGTCTCTCATACATCTCTAAACATCGTTGCTTTTAGGAATGTACGAGATCGCAATTGTACTCGATGTGGAGCGGTGGCGACTTGTCCTTCATCAAGTTACCAGAGAGCAACGAGATACAAGATGAACATCCACCCACTTAAATGTCTGCCACTATTACTTCTTATCTAAAATGTATCCGATGAGAAATTCAACCTTTGGATTACTGAGCCGTGAAATAACTATTCTATCTTTTCATGATTTTTTTTTAAAGATATTACACGCTAAAAAAATAATATAAAATCTAATATATGAAATGTTGTTCTAAACATTAGCGTGAAAAAATAGAAATATATCTCGTGACCCAGCAATCCAAAGGTAAGTCATCGCTACGATGAAATTTGTTGACCTGTAAATTCACCTAGTGATTCGACCAATTTTATTCGTGATGTGTATACGTGTTTGTATTTGTGAGCGCGATATGACGGCGCGAGTTAGTATGTGCATATTGAGTGTGCAACAAACGATAGAAAAATATTTAAAGAATGTTATATAGGGTGCTCACTTCGTAATATTTATTTATTGTGATATTTGTAAATCGTAAAATATATATCATGCAAAAGATATATAAATTTATATGTCCTATTTATATAGAGCTGCAGTTAAGGGCGTATTGTATCACTTACACATACATCATACACATTTAAATAATTTCTATTAATCTGATAAATACTACGAAGTGTGAAACTTTAAAAGTAAACGCTCTATATGTTGTTAAATCTCCCATATACATATGTGTGTATGAATCAATCGAGAGGAGTATCATTCGGCTCACAATTGAAGAGAACTCTCTTTTAGACCTTTCGAATTTCGATACCAAAGCGCGTGCACCTGTGATCTACTATTATCGTTTTATCGTATCGGATAATGCAAAACTCGAGAGTGTCTTTGCACACCTCGCTAAATATCATTACATAATCGACGAAGCATATCACATTCCATTTGAAGAAACGACGCATTTTATATTTACTTCTACTTGTGTATCTCGCATCGTACGACTGTCACAGACACGCAGTACCGTTCGTAAATTCTCGACTACATATCCCATATTACATAAATAGAGAATTCAATATATCTGCATTAATTACATAAATAAAAGTCAAAATAAAATTAACAAATAAATAATATTGTTGATATCTATATCTTTCTAAAAATTTTTATTTTAAACTTTCTGTTTTAATATATATGCAGGATATCTACAAGGTCTGCTCCTACTCCTTATATTTCTGAACCGGTTTAATATAAAGGGTGGGAACAGACTTTATAGATACTTTGTATATATATATATATATATATATATATATATATATATATATATGTATGTATGTTTTTATTATTTTACAACATTTACAATATTATATATATAAAAATAATTTAATATTTATATTATATTTATAATATCCTAATCAACTACCGCGCATAACATGCATATATATATGCAATCTGTGATTAACTAATTTGTCTTAGCAATTTTTTTTACATCTTCTGTCATTGAAAATATGGTGAAAAAATATACATTTATTCATATTTTTATTTGCATTTTTAACTGCATGTAAATTTTTTTCTCTTGTCAATAGTTCACAATATTCAAAAAATTCGATACTTACGCAATTGATACTTCATCTCGTTCTCATGTTTCGGCGCGAGCAGCGACATGTCAAAATCTACCGGATACGTGAAGGTAAGCCATCGTTCATGCGGATCCGCCTCGGCCGTGAGCGCTTGGAAGAGCGCCGGTATCGGATCGCTGAATTCCTCCACGTGGGATTTCCTACTCAACGGGTTGTCGGTGACATTCGGTTTTGGGCATAGATCTGCGAAAACACATTACGTTGCTTACATGCATGTCAAATCCGTGAATTCCGAAATTATATATATACAGGGTGAATCATTAAAGGTGTTACAGGCTAATATTTCTAAAACTGAATGAGATATGAAATCTTTATTTTAAAATCATTAATTTCGCATGTTAACTGCAGTGCGAAGTTTCATTTTTGCGTCGAATGCCCGTTTTGATATCAAACAGTTTTTGGAAAATATGAATTTTATATCTCGTTTAGTTTCAGAAATATTAGGCCCTGCGCACAATAGAGAAAATATTAGGAATAGGAATAAAATATTAAATATCAGGAGGAGCAATTTGGAATTATTTTACTTCAAACAAGGGAACGGAATGGATTAACGCATAATGAAATAAAAAAATAAAAATTAGAAACAATTAATCCATTCCGTTTCCTTGCTTGAAGTAAAATAATTCCAAATTGCTCCTCCTGATATTTAATATTTTATTTCTATTCCTGATATTTCCTCTATTGTGCGCAGGGCCTTAATCTGTAGCATCTTTAGTCATTCACTCTGTATATATATGTATATATCATCGTTTTCTTTTTTGTCTAAACAAAAGTAAGATAAAACCAAGTATATATATAAGCAATTTAAATTAGAGGCGTTTGTCTATTTTCTGCCATATAAAATATTGCAATAAATATATTATTAAAATTATATTTATAATATATTAATAGAATATAAAAGAAACATAGTTTGTAGAATTTATTTATAATTTTTAAAGTGTGCAGAAATGATCTCTATATTTGATCCTGTGTATTAACTGCAATTTAAATCCTGATTTTATCCAACTTTGTTTAAATTTTCCTCGTTTTTTGCGATCATTAAACATTACACAGTTGGAAAATTTATATTAAATTTAACATAATATATTGCATTATAATGCAATAATATATTAACATTATATATTTGCATGTCTCAAACGAAAGTTCACACAAATTTTTGTGTTTATTTAACATAATAATATAAATATGTTAAATGGTGACATTAATACTATGTTAAAATGAATTCAAATTTCAGTAAACAGAAATAAATTTTGTGTAAAATCAACATATTTTTAATGGTAAAATTAACTTGGACAAAAAGTTGTTGGTCTGTAGTCACTCTCACTTCTATTATAGAATAAAATTCATATTTTTTTTTCTGTAAATTTTAACAGATAAATCCCTATCTAATAATACGAAACATATCTATTGTGTAAACTTCAAAATATGTGCACATTGTGTTATTTTGACACTTTTTCTCAGTTCTTTTAATAATTTAACATTTGAATTCAATTAACACATGAATGTGTTAAATATTTAACACAAAAATTTTAGCCAGTATATTCTTTAACCAGAAAACACAAATTTTCAAACTGTGTATATATCTCCTAATTGCTATAATTATAATAAGTTTCATGACATCGCGCACAGACTATTTCCCCAGAGCACTAATATAAATAATCAGTATATCTGATAAATTAAAATTATCGAGCGTTTATCGCCCGCGTCTCTTACCTACGCACGAGCAGCACTCGTCGTACAGGTAGCTCAAGCACGAGAAGCATTCCTTGCAACAGGTGCAAGTGACCAGGTCGCACTTACAGCTCTGCGTGAGCATGCACTTGCTCACGACGCTGGCGCAGATCGCCTCGTTGCACGCTTCCGAGCGTTTCGTCGCGGTCGTCAGCAGCAGAATCCCGACGACGGCTGCGATGAACAACACGCTCCAGCTTGTCATCCTGCTCGCGACAGATTTGATTTAGTTCCTTCACATGATATACATTTAACCGACTAAATGCTGAGACATCTTTTTCTCTCACTAAATTCTCGTAAATATCTATCCGAGTCTACGTAACTTGTAACAAGGACAGGTACAGAAACAAGAATAAGGATAAGTCTTTCCTAATATTTTCTATATCTATGTAAATAAACAAGTATCAGGAAGAAATGTTTTGAAACTGTGCTGGAATAAATCGATGAGATATTTTAATCAGTATGCTAGAAAAGATTATTCAAAACACATTATATTAATAAATAAATTATTAAATCAAGAAGAAAGATAAGAAGAAATGATAGAGAAATTCTGTATAGTTAGAAGGAAAGGGAAAGAATTTAATGTGTAAGTTACAAATAAAATGAGAAGAAGTCGTTGTGCTATTCGATATTTCCTACAATTCAAACCATACGTCATGTTAATCATGCTATGCTAATTGTAAGTGTCAAAATTTAATTTTTTCCACGTAAAAGTTTTCTTTTATCGTAAAACTCACAGAGAATAGAATCTGACAGTATTAATTAAAATCTCGAAATCAAGTTTATATTCTCGATATCGTTAAGTCATAATCTACGTGATATTTTTGTCATGATATTCATATCGCGTTTTTCCTCAGACGCGGACTATTGTTTATGCGTAGATGTCGGACACTATGATTATAATGTCCCCCTACTCGCGCCATTCTCGGAGCGGTTACGGAGACGAGAAGAGCGGCGATTATGCCGACGAGGCACGATTAAGATTATTAAGAATATTCACGAATGTGAGTCAGGGTGTCATTAAGCGGGAACGCGTGCTAAAAAGAATGAAATTTCAGTCTCTTCTCCTGGCGAGTCTCTTCTACTAACCCGAGCAATCAGCGTAATGTTGCTCCAGGGATGACGCCGAGGTCACGTGTTTTAAAGTCGTTTAAGCCTTCGCGAATTCGGGATCTTTTTGTGTTAACAGATGTGTGGAATGTGTGATTTTGAAGACTTCCTGTCCGAAAAGATTATCGCGGAAATTTTGGGAAACTTATTACAGATTTGTCACACTACGAGAACCGCATCCTCATTAATATATTCGTTAAAATAAAATTTATACATTAAAATAAAATTTATTTAATATATAAAAATATTTATTTTTGAGATATAATATTTTATATACTAATATTTATCAAAATTACTTTTCTGCGTAAAAATTGCTTATTGTCTTAGATATATCTAAGATATATCTATATTATCTTTTTAAAAAGATGTAATAAGAGACCATCAGAAGCGTGAAAAAAAAATTGTGCTACAAGTTAGAAAGTAATCGTTCCTAAAAAAAAAAAATCTCATAAAATCCCAAGCGAATCATATTTTTCACTTTCAGAGCCATTACGTCTCTGTGCGAGCCGACAAGTATGCGCAAATTATCCCCCAGAGCATTGAATACCTGTCGACGTAGAGAGAAGGATAAAGGAGAAGAACGACATTAATCGAATGCGAAATCGTTCGCGCAATAATTGCATCTTTCCAACGTGCCCATTAAACGTCTATTTATATCGCGCTTAATCGCGTCCTACGACAACTCCGGTGAATTATTATTGGAAAAGAATTCCACTACACAACGACCTGTTACACACGGCGATCGAAAAGGCGTGATCGCGATACGATCTGATATGTGTCACCACTAGCGGCGACTTTCACGTTCACTTTCCACATGTTTTTTGTTTCCCCTATCTCTTGTTCATTAATGTACTACTAAATGTCATTGTAAATTAATTCAAGTGAAACCTGAAGAAGAGAAAAGATAGTATCTAACTATCTAACTATCCAGTTAAGCTTATCGCTCATCAAACGATTAACTCCAACAATTTTGTCAATAGACGTGTTAATCTGATAGACATATTAATTGATTCATCTTTATTGTAATATTAAAGTATAAGAATTTTCACATTTCAAAGAATATATTAATCATATAAATATTCTGACCTCAGATTTGCTAATAATTATTAATTTCTGTATAAATTAATAATTATTAATAATTATAATAAAAACATAATAATAATTAATAATAATTCTCAATTTATAGAATAGAATGAGGATTTTAACATGACATATTACTTCAAATAATTTAATACCTGAACGATCTCGTTGCGCGATCTTGCCGATTGTCAAATATAATCAAGATTCACCCCCGAACACACTTTAAACAATTGTATTTTCATATAACTTTGATTATTTTATTATATTTTATTATTATTATATTTATTATTATATTTACTTTTTTTTTATATTTACTCTTTTACTTACTATTTTATTTT